TCGAGTAAAAATGAAAAAAAAGTGAGAGAAAACACGAATTTTTTGACAAGCACCGGGAAACGAGATCGATTCGTTCGTTTTGGTAAAATGCATTTGACATGCGATTATTGGTGTGACGTGATTATTTGGCGCGTAACTTTTGTTTTTTCTTTAAAATTCGGACTATTGGAGCATAAGGTTGCACACACATCTCCATCTGCCAGGCAGTTCCGAGTCGCAAAGCGAATTGAAAAGCACGGTCGACGATCCGCGACCTCGCGAGTTTTGGGGGTTAGCGGGCCTCTCAGTGAGTTGCATCATCGCTTAATAGAATGATGCAAGTCGTTCAACCGCCATAACCTCTGCGACAGGTCAACCCCCGCTGTTGACGTTCCTGGAAGACAGGAGGTAGGATAAGAGAGAACGAGAACACAAGGAAGAGAGAGAGGAACAGTGGAGAGGAGCCTCGTGGAAGAGAGGAGGAAGAAGAAGAAGAGAAGGAGCAGGAGGAGTAGGAGCGGGAGGAGGAGGGCGAGCACAGGGCTGGGGGTGAACCCCTTATTGATTTTTAGGGTGACACTGTCAAGCGGCGGCGAGTGTCGAGTCCCCCGCGACGAGAGACTTTGAAGCGACGAGCGAATGAGGAAAAAATGCGGCGGCGCGCCATTGCATGCCCGCATCAGAGAGAGAGAGAGAGAGAGGGGGGGGGAGGGAAAGAGGGAAAGAGAAAGAAAGAGAAAGTCTTTCAACCCTTGTGGACAGCAGCGAGGGCGCGTACACCTCGCGGCCACTCATTGCGTTCTCCGTGACGACGTCGCGCGTCGTTTGGCACCTCGTGCTCAATGACGACGATGACGACAATGTAAACGTCGGCCGGACTCCGTTGACACACGCGCCGGGCGAGGCCGTGCGACGTTTTTTCCGGTATACACCGCGGTGGTTGGCAGCGGTGGTTGGCGGTGGTGGCGGTGGAAGAGCGGTGGTGACGGCGACGGCGACGCCGACGGGAGGAAAGAGTAACCGCGGCGCGAGGCGCAGTCCCGTTGCGGTCGGGGGTGCAGCTCTCTCTCGACGCGCAGGGCCGTACGCGTCCGTGGGAGACGCTCCACGTGGGGCGAGTGGCTTTCGCTCTCTTTCTCTCTGTCTCTCCTCTTTTCTTTCTCTCTTTGTCCGCTTTTCGCAATCGCACGCGTTCGTCTTTGACGTCTTTGTCGCGACACGGATATCTATCTGTTCATCTATTTATCCCGCCTATCCGTCGGGAGCGATTGCCACCTTGGAAACGCGAGGGGAACACTGCAACACACCGTGGGGTGCGTGCGAGTCCCGGTACTTGGGGGCGAGCGACGACGGCGAGTCCGCCGCGGTTGTAGTGATCGTCGCTCCCCTTTCTCTCCCTCTCACTCTCTCCTCTCCTCTCTCTCTCTCTCCTCTCTCTCTCTCTTCCGCTCCTTTTTTATGTCTTCTATTCCCACCCCGCGTTTTTCCGCTCCCCCGGTCTCGAGGTATAGGCGTCGCGCTGGCGGACGCGAGTGACGCATGAGTTGCACGGGAAACGTGGCTTCTCGGGAGCAATGCGAACTCCCAACGATAACCTCGTGACTCGCGACCATGGGATCGTTTCCGCGAGTACGCGCGAGTAAGTGATCGGCACGGGATCGCCGAGCGGATCGTCGTCGCGCACGGGGTTGTATAACCGTTGGAAAATGATCTTACGCGCTGCGTGCTCCGAGTGAAGTGCGCGGAGAGTCGGCGATGTAGAGGCGCGCGACAGGCCGGGGTGTGCGTCGCTAAGTAGGCCGCAGCGTGACACAGCCTTAAAAAAACAAAACGAAACAGCCGTCGCGAAACTGCGCCAGGTAACGTTCCCGGTCCGGCCGAATTTTTGACGTATCGTAACCTCGCTGTCACGCGTACATGTACGGCGTCGCTCGCATGCAACAGGCGACACCGCGTTGCCAAAGTTTCCACTTGATTAATCGATCGGAAATTACCGCCGTAAACCGAAGGTAACAGCCGCGTGCCGCGAATTGATTGTCGGATTCGAGTCGTGGCACGACGAGCGAGTCAATTCGGTCGGGTCGCCGTTCCTTAGGAGCAGCATTCAGTCGAGGAGCGGAAGCAAAAGCGGCAAAAAGAAACGTCGGACGCGACTGCCACACGAACGAGTGGCGAAGTAGCGACGGCGAAAGAGCGACCGCGCCGCCGAGGACGTTAGCCGCGAAATTACGCGAAGCGCGGCGCACGCGAGTCACAATCGATACCCGGCGAGAGTAGCGAGGTGTAGCGGTAGTAGTGGCTGGCTTCGACGACGCTCGCGACGGTTCCACGACAGTTCGGGGGAAAAAAAAGATCGCCCGCGTAGGTGCGCTCGTGGACGCGCGCGACGCGACGTAACGGCGACGCGGTCGCGATAGCCTGCCCCGCTGCCACGGGAGGACGTCCGCGCGACGCCTGGCGGTGACGCGAGCCGGCGCGGCGCGTCGCCATTCGCGTGAGGAAACCGGCGAGGTGGTCGTGCATAACAATAGAGACCACGCGGAAGTTGGCAGGGTGGACGGTGGGATGCGCGGACAGACGGCCGGCCGGACGGACGGACGGACGAACGACTCTCCTCGGGGAAGATACGTGAGGTGCGGTGTCGCGGCGCGTCACGTCGCGCCGTGAGAACGCGGCGCGGGTGTGTACGCGACGAAGGTGCATTCGTCGCGACTCGTATTCTCAATTCGCAGCTGTCGACGCCGCGAAGCGGAGGGAAATTGCGAAAAAAATGGCAGCCACCATCGGCGTCCACCCGTGGAACAGCAATTATCGTCTGCGGCCGAGGAAGAAATCTAGTTGACACTCGGGCGTGAGTGGCGAGATCGAAAAGCGAGAGACGGTGACGCGGACGACGACTGGCGGAGGTGGTGGAGGGCGGCAGGGAGAGAGAAGGAGGGCGTCGAACACGTGGTCCGCGAGAGAACAGCTAGTGGGCGAGGTGCGTGCGTGGCACGCTCCTGGCGCACGTGCGTATGTGCATCGCACCGCGATCATTGGCAGTGGCACGTGTGAGTGACAGGAATATCGGTGAACGACGCCGCCGTCGGTGAAATAAGCGACGTCGACTCGACGTGCGAAACTTCATCTCCGTCGCGAGAATCTCCCTGGTGACGCACTGCTATGCAATCTTGTTGTGGGACTCGCCGACTCGAGGACAGGCGAGCCGCCAGAGGGAATATATCTTGTCACCTGCCGCTTCCACCGATTCCGTGAGGCTTGACCCTCACGCGACGTGAAACGCGACGAGTGTGTTCACAGCAGTGTCGCCCTCGTGTATACCTAAGCGCCACCTGCGCGCTACATCCCTGGCCTCTGGAACAGTTCGTCTGTTGACTTCGGTGGTGTTAACTCGCGCTCAGCCCGATTCTCGCTCCCTCTCACTCGCTCGCGCGCTCTGCTCCTCTTCCCTCCCGCCCTCTGTCTCTCTCTCGTTCGTCGAGAAAGAGAGAGAGTGAGAGCGCGCGCGGGCGGCGGGCGGGCGCACTCGCGGGGTCGCTTGTGTTTGGAACGTCGCGAACTTTCTGCAATGTGACGACGCGGGGGATGAATGGGTAGTAGCGTCATGTCGCAGCGGTGCACGCGTCTGGGAGCGGGCGTGCGGCCGGAACACAACGTCCCGCTGGTCGAGGTGTCCTGAGTTACCAAAGCGGAGCGACGACCGTTGGAAAAATGCCGGCGACGCGACCACTGCCGCACCACGGACCGTTCGTCTTGTTGTTGTTGCTGCTGCTGCTGCTGCACCGAGAGCTCGCGACCGTGCGCGGTGTGTCGCGACGTGCGATCCGCACGGACTCTTGAAAAGGGCCGCAGTGCCTTCGTCGCGTTTACGAGTGCCTCGACGTGCTGGTAGGCTCGCCGTGAGGTCTCGCGTTGTGTGTACTTGTGTTAGGTTAGGTGTACCGGCACATAACCTCAAAGCGCGAACGCTACGTAGCAAGGTGTCGGGACAAGTTCTCGCGCGTCATCCCGCCGGCGTTCTCGTCTCCGTGTGGACGAGAGGAAGTGAAGCGAGCTCGTGCACTTGCGATCGTGTTTGTCGAAGCTGCGTGCTGGCTCCATACGCGTCGGGTGATCGGTGAGATGGAATGAGCTGGGTGATTGCGGGACAATGAAGGCCAATGGGACAAATAATGGTGATTTTCCTATAAAAATGTTTATATCTCGAGTTGCACTCGTTGCTGGTTCGACTGTGACTAGGTCTCACATCAATGTAACAGTCAGGATGATGATTTTTGTGGTTAGGTACTTGTTTATGACAGATGCATCTTTCCATTGCTGTTGTGGGCATGCAGGAGCATGAGATGCAATTGCTTCCATGATGTGAAAGAATCCCATTCGTGTAAAAGCTTGCATAAGCTTCTTTTGATTACCTTTTCTGTCATGAATATCATGCAGATAGAACATTTGGATACAACGATGAGTCATACGCTACAAATAACTGTTCATACCCTTACATGTGTGTCGAGACAATAAGTCTGTTCTTCCTCTCCTCAATTTTCATTTCCTGAACTGGTGCACACTGCTTCAATGAGTCAGAGTGAAGCAAGATACACTTGTTTCACTGGTGTTACTTGGACACTGACATTAGATCTGTCCTTTTTTGAAGAACTTTCTGAACCGATGTGCACTGATGCAATAAATTGGTATAAGAAACAAGCATATTTTGTTTCACTCCCTCTTAACTCTCTCTTTTAATTCATTACATCAGTGTACATCAGTCAACTAACAGTCTTAACAGTTAGTGGCTACGTAACACCGCACTGCTGATATCAAGTGTGATATTAGCTCGAACCAGTTAACCTATTGATATTATCATTAACATATATATTGCAACTGCTCCAACTAGGCACACTCAATATTATATATTATTCTATTATATATTATATATTATTATATATTATTCTATAAGTTGATTTAAGTTAATCAACAGGAACATATTAATAAATTAATACAAATGAATGATTGAATATTGTTTACAGGCTGTAGCCGCCTAAACACGCCATTGGCAGCCACCACCACGCTGGAGGATCCAGGAACGCCAGCCTCCTGGAAGGGCCCGCCGCCCGGCTCGGAGGCATCGCCCTTTACACCCAATTCCGTCGGCCAGGGCGGAGGTCCCGGTGCTGGTCCGTACAACAGCACAGGCGGTCCACCCAGTAATGCGGGCTTCCAAGGACCGAGCCCGTTCCCTGGCAACGCCGGCAGTCCCGCGGGCGCGCCGCCATACCAGGGCCCACCACCTGGTTCGGCGACACCGCAGTATACCGCGTCGCCGGCGCCGAGTGGTTCCTCGACACCTGGTCCTGGACCACCGCCCAATTCTACCGGTTTCCCGCCACCGCCGAACAACTCGGGGCCCCCTTACAACGGACCCGGGCCCAGCCCGTTCGGCTCGCCGTCCGGTGGCGCACCGCAGTTCGTCGGGCGACCGGGATCATCGGGACCACCGTTCGTACCACCGGGTGCTGGTAACCCGCACTTCCCTTCGCACGGGCAGCCTTTCGGTGGGCCGCAGTATGGTATACCACCGAGCAGTCCGTTCGGCCCAGGAGGACATCCTATGGCAGGACCTATGGGACCTGGACACCCGGCGATGATCGGACCTGGCGGCCCGGTCGACAGGCTGGATCAGGGGTGAGTTTCTCTTGTTTCTCGAGTCGCATGCTACGAGCCTGTCCACAGGGGCGAGTAATTGTCTGATCTCGACGTTCGAGTGCGCGAAATAATTAGCACGATTGAGCACGTGATACCGCGACGGTGTAATTACGAGGAAAGGCGCTTTCCCCGTGGCGGACGGCAAGCAGCCTCCCCAGATATCGAGATAGCGCGTGTTACTCGCCTCTGTTTTGCATGTATAATTTAGTCCGGATAATCGACGATCGACGCGCAGCGCTTATTAGATTGGAGTGTGCGGTTCAAGTTCGCCGAGAACAATAACAACAAGGGGCGAATGTTGCTCCAACTGTGAATGCAAATCGTGATCGTAATTCCGTTATGGATACTCGGCGGGTAACGCCGCTTCGTAACGTTAAGCGTCTTACTTTTAATTAAATCGCGCGCGCGCATCTGCTAATTATATAGAAAACTTTGGAGAGATTTTATGCACCGAGAAATGGAGCGCGATTTGTAGAGAAAGTTGCACGCAGCGGCGGTTACGCTAATGATTATTAATCGCAGTGAAAGTCGCTATTATTCCGATCCGACGTAATTTCGGGCTAGGGAATGCGGGAATGCTTAGAGGGAGCATGAACGTTAAACTTTACGACCCGCGTTTCAACGCGGCAAATCAACGGGAACGTATATTTTCCCGCGCCCATTCGCCAGCAAGTCCATTCACCGGAAAAGTGTATCCCAGATATCCGTCGTGTCTCGCGCGCAGACAATAATTTGCGATCGCCGCGCGACACTCGATAACACACTACTCTGCGCACAGCGTATCACAACCGCGAGATTAATAACATTACACCACGCGCCTGCACGACATACCTTTTGCGCAAAGCGCTCCCTGAAACATCCACCTTTGACGGAATACCGGATCCTGAGAAATTCCCGGCGAAACTTCGCCCCGAAACTTCACTGCGCGCCGCGCACCCTCCCCTCCCCCCTCCCCTCTCCCCTCAACAAGACCTTGCACTTTTAGTGCGTGGTATAGATCGCAGAGCGAGCTCTTGAGCTTGACGACAGCTCGGCGAGGACGGGCGAGACAAAAGAGTAGCGTCGCCGCGTTGACATTCCTAGATAACGCGCTCCACCAGGTAGCCGGCGTTATTTACTGCGCCCCTCTTCCAGTCGGTCCGCATTCTTGCCGATAGTCCTGCTCGAGCACGCTCGCATTTGCGCCCTTCGGGATCCGTCTTAATCGTCCCTATCGACTCCGTCGTCTTCGTCGCCCGAGACAAACGCTCGTACGCTCGAGACTAACTTATCACGTGCTTCGAGCCACCCACACACTCAGGCAGTCTGAGCTGTTTGCGCGCGCGCGCGTTTATACACATGCACGCACGTATGAATATATCGTCAGGCTGGTACCGTAGTGTAAACTGGGGCCATTTTTAGGCACGGTCGCGTCCGTTGCAAATGCGGTCGCGACACGCGCGCGCGAGGCATACACGCGTGGGTGC